TCTTTCCCCACATCAGAGGTCGGGATCAGTATTTCTGTAGATGCTAGTGTGCAAAATTGTCTCATTCACTAAGTATTTTTACTTTTCCTTTCTCATATCCCCACCTTGTCTCACTCAGATTTCAGGGGAGATTAATCTGTGTGAGGCAGGGGAATGCAGCTACCTGAGACCCCAGAGGAGGAGCATACTCAGAAGCATTCTTGTAAGTAAACTAAGAGAAAACAGAAACTAACAGCACTCATCTAGTGCTTTTTTAAAGGTTCTGCTCTAATCACTGTAATTTATTGAACATAACCAGTTGTGACATCATTAAATAATCAGTAGTTAGAGCCTCATTCAGCAAAATATCAATATAATTTCTTTGAATATTGCATGATTGAAACACTATAACTCAGCATTCCTATTAATACACAGTTTTGGAACAAGGTAGTCCAAAATCTAATACATTGAACAGCCACTTTATTAGGTACACCTGTACAATTGTAAGCACTTCAATGCAACACTTCTACCTTAAAATCTGTGTTTAATGAAAATATTTCAGTTTTTGGTGAAATTGTCATAAATGTTGATCGTATTTATATTTATACATTTACAGAGGTGTTCTTCATATTCTGACCCTCTCATGTATGTGGCGATGGAGGACAAAAATATAGAGACACCTCTGAATATAATGTAGTCTAGTACAACACCGCTTTCACCAAAAACTGAAACACTTTAAACTTCATAAACACAGATGTTAAGGTGGAATTGTTGCATTGGCGTGCACATAATTGTACGTGTGCCTATTAAAGTGGATGGTCAGTGTATATTCTATATGAAATTTCTAGTGAATATACTGTGTATTTTCTTTTCTGTGTTTGCACACAAACATCCATTGTGTCATCTGGATGCCTTCCAGATGGCACAATGCTCTGTATAGACCATCTGCACATAATAACAAAAGGCTGTACTATAAATGTACCTTTAATTCTCTTCACTGTGTCTTAACCCAAATAATTCTTTTCACAGTTGAATGTATTAGCCAGAGAGCTCCAGAAGAGGAAGTGACAGCTTTCCACCCTACACTGCTTTTCTTCCTAGTGACCCTCTTTATCATGGCATGAATCAACTTCATGCCGATCCTCTGATCTTGTGCATTTGTTCAGTAAAACTGTTTTCCATGGTTTCTCTTTGTGGCGCAGAAATATTGAAGTTACAATATCTCATAATAAAGTATCTATTTTGATATTAACTTTTTTCATTTTTGGTGTCCAAAATTGTCCATGGCATATGATGTGAATAGCAAATAAGTAAAAAAAAAAAAGGTTCAAAGTCCCAAGTAGTCAGGCACATGAGCCCAAGGTTACAAAACTACCACAACGAGATTCAAAACAACCACAAAGTGGCAAGGAATAGAGTGAGTCATAATGTTCACAAAGATTCAAACTAACCATAGTGGTGAGAAATGACCACAAAAAAACAAACACAAAGATACATAAAATGACTTAAATTCACATAGCTGTCCAGTAAGTGTGATTTAGGAGAATCACTATTATTATGAATTAATATTGTATTTTTCCGGGGATTATCAAAACAAATGAAATAACGTCATAAATTGACTACTATGATGTCACTGCGCATGCACTATTCAGCTAGAGAAAAAGATGGACGAAATAAGTGTCTGTTCTCCGCTGCCTGCGGAGTCAGACTCTCAAAATAACACTACCAGTTCCCCTAACGCGGCTTCTGTCACAGTAATAAACACTAAAATAGATAGTGCCCAGGTTGAAGGTGAGTTTTGTCTAGAACTAAAAGTGCAGCTTTATGGCGAACTACCTGCCGAGCTAATGTTAGCCTTTTAGCTAACTAGCTAGCCAGCTCAACAATCGGGTGAGCTAACTAGCTTCTTAGCTGAATAGGCTAACGTTCACAGTCTAACGTTAGGAGTTGGTCATTGTTTTATACTGGTCCGTGGGCACAGGACTCGTAAAATGTGTTGCCCACCAAAAGACCCTTTTGATGTTTAGACCAGTGTCATTGTGAAAAAAAAATACAAAGTTCAGAGGTTTGACGTTTTCCCAGGTCCGGAAGTGGTTGGCCATTTGCTAAATATCTTGCGAGCTAGTGTCTGCAAACAGTTTCCCAGCCCAACAGTTTGTACATTTAAATTAGCCACGTACCAGTGGGTTTACTGGTCGGGCAGCAAACATATGGTAGCGGAGGCCACCAAATATCTTCCTAACATTTAGTCGTTGACTTAAGTTTCATCCTCACTCTATTAATAGATGGTAACTTTGTTAATACTGAATTAGTCATAGCATTGCACCTGCAATGCAATGAACTTGTGGCAAAATTTAGGCTGAAATACGGTTAGGATGAAAGATATAGTATTCTTAGTTTGAAGCATCTCAGACTTCATTAGCTAAAGTGTTCAGACCAACATTTAAAAAAGAGCATCTGGCGCTCCCGTGGTGACCTCGCTCACCAGTAGAATACAAAATATGTTCTTATACTTTTTCCTTTTCAAACATTGTACACATACTCTGAGATACTCTGTTAGCTGCTACTGTGATTATCATTTGGTAAGTACTTAATTTGACATGTATCACCAGACATGGGTTTTTCTGGGAGGATATATCAAGTTGTGTATTTGTAGTTTATTCTGAGCTATGTTAATTAGTGTGTAATTGTATTATTGCTTTATATCGGAAAGACTGCTAAGTTAAAAATCTTTCAGCACCTACTGCAAGCTGTAATGGGACAGTATTTCATAGTTCCTAGTGCCGGTGCCTTTCAGTAGGTATTAGGCTTCTTTTATTTTTTATTCTAGTTTGATTTAATCAGAACATGTCAAGAATGATATAAATTGATCATGATAGATTCAAATATGAAATTACACTATTGAAGAAAAGCAAGCACAAATTTGTAATCACATTTTTTAAGTTATAAGTTAATAAAGATGTTAAGGTTTTTAGAAAATGCCACTTTGTTGACTAACTGATTAACTGACTGTTCGTTTCAGCTTGAATTTGAAATTTTCTGTCTCAGTCATGTCATAAAAGGATGTGTATGAGTCATGTCCTATGAGCAGAAGACAGAATACCATATGCACCAAATGCTGTCATTGTTAAAATATGTAGATGTATTTGTTATTGTAAACAAAGGTGTAAAGAAATTGATTTTCATATTAATCTGTCAGTTCCAATTTATTGATATCTTTTTAATAGAATTGCTAGAATAGAAATGAAACACTGTCCACAGAACTTTGCCATCAGTTTGAATCATGACAGAATCTTTACATAAATATTTAAGTAATATGAATAGTACTTATCTACATTATTATTTCAAGAGGGTTTGTTTTTTAATGCTAAATCTCAGCCTGCACCGGATAATAAATACTTTTTTGTTTGGAAAACCAAATATGTACTTTCTCCACCAGCTTAGGTAACATATCCACTAAGCTTTTCCTATGGAAAACAATCCACTAAATATTAATTGCAAAAAAAAAGAAAAAAAGTCAAGTATTAGGCTTAACTTTGGTTCTGCAATGTGGTTTTCACCTTTCAGTGCTTATATTTGCATTCAGAAGCACTGTAGATAAAGTGTGCTGAAAAATAGTCAGTGGATGTTGTCAGTAGTCAAAAATAGTCGTTGATTGTTCTTTGTAACTGGATGAACTGAGCATCATCATGCAACAAGAATCTACTTTAAATTTAGAATTTGTTTGGTTTATTGGTGGAACCAATTAATAACATTAATAATACTGACTAAAATGGATTACTTTTACTTGCATTTACAAGAAATTATGTTGAATAGCATTTTAAATTCCTTTGTGCTAGGCTGTCATATTGATGTCTGTTATGTCAGTTTTGTTTAAGGATTATTAAAAAATGTACTTTTGTAAGACTTGACAGTTTTAGAGAGTTTCATGCATGAGTATGATATTTTTCTGCGAGCTATGTAACATGGTGTTTAGCTCGCACATGGTGACAAAATCACACTATCAAGGCAAAGTCCATACAAAAAATCTTCGTAAACAAGGTCTCCAGCCTCCTGGCAAGGGTAGATTATGTGATGAGAAAGTACTGTAGTGATCTTAATTTTAATATTTACTGATCAAATTTTTTGGACAATATTAATCAACAGGTCCTGCTTGAGTTCAATAGATCAAACACAAATGAACTTAAACTGGTAACTTCTCTTTGCTGTTATAGACAGGTACACAGAGGTGTACACTTTACCGGGTCCGACTCAGGATCCCGATCATGCTGACCAGGAGTCAACCCCAGAGGGTGGCATGACACATGTTGAGGAGGAAGCAGCCACCACAGCTACTCCCAGCACAGAAGTTGATCTGAAGGACCCTAACAAGTGTTGTGCTCTGTGTGCTGCTTCCTTCAACAACCCTCAGATGGCTTGGCAGCACTACAGTGGACGCAAACACCAGAGGAATCAGGCCAGACAGGAGCTGATCAAGGAGCTCAGACATGACGTCCAGCAAGGTAACGCAGCATCCTGCCTCTCAGCAAAGCAGGATAATACAAAGGGTGACAAACCCTGCAGGAATCAAAACAGAATCAGTTGCACATTGTGTAATTTGAGTGTACATTATATTTTAAGAGGCAGTATTGATGTGAAGGCAAATAATTTCTAAAGCACATTTTTTGTTAGTATACTTTAGTGCTAGTTAATTTAAATGAGTTGCAAGGCAGCACATAATTTTCAGTAGAAGCTAGCAAAAGCACAATTTTATATTATTACTTATTCTCTTTGTATTTATTTTATATTTTTGTATTATTTATATGTATTGTTTTGTGTTTTATCATATTTATTGTATGGTTTATTCTGTGGACCCACAATCACTGTGATAATAAGTAATCAAGGCAAAGTGGCTGATCTTTTTCCTCTCTTCTAAGGTGACATGAAGCATAAACATGCATCAAGCCTGAATGCAGTCAAGCATGAAATTTCAGGTTTCACAAAGGGTAGCAAAGCACTGTGTGCAACATGTATCTGTCTGTGTGCTGCAAAGCACTATAAGAGGTTGATGTGCAGTGGGAATGATGCAGGTAGCAATTTTTATGGTATTAAGGCAGGTTACAAAATCTAAAAATGAATGGACCTGTAGTTTACTGCTCTCTGAGGATCCTATGTGCTAAATTGTTCTGCACGGGATAGCATTTTGCTTCAGATTTGGTGTAAAGTGGATGTTCAGAAACATTTAGAAATTTAAGGTGCTACTGTGTTTTCTTAGGTACAATAAGTTTCTATGACAGCGTGTTTTGAGGAAGAAACTTTTTCAGAATGCGTTGCAGACATCAGAATTGCAATGAGTGTTTATTTTGAACAAAGAATAAAACTGATGAGGTATTACATCAAATAATGTGTTGTTTTCAGTGTAATACAGGACACAGATGATTTACACATCACTGTTTTCAGTTTTAATTTTGATTTTACATACCGTCCCAACTTTTTCTTACTTGGGGTTATAATAGCCACTTGTTTGTTCAACATGCTTAAATAATCTTCCGCTTGATTCACTGTGGCTGAACTGCAACAGTGACAGTATATTCTGCCACACAGGATCCATGACTGAAGAGAAGTTACTGAAGCGTCTCCTCACTGATGACTACTGCTACGTGTGTGAGGCTGTGCTGCTGTTTGAATCTCAGCGACTGTCCCACTATGAGGTGTGTGCTGCTTCCAGACACTGATCATGGAACTGTGACACAGTTTTAATGACCTAACAAAGGTGAAGTCTTCATAATAATGTCTCCCTTATCTCCAACCAACATGCTCAGAAGCTCAAGGTGTACTTGCAAGCCAAGAGAGCTGAGATGAAAAAATGCTCTACAGGACCACAGGTTAGGTCTTATTTAGAGAGTTTTCTTTTTACACAATCACACACACTCTTTATCTGTAACACTGAACAATGCATGTCATAGAAGAATGAACTTAAGTTATAATGCTGCAAATATCCAGTGGTAAGAATTCTCAGGGTCCTGGCTTTAATGTCTGAATATGAGACACAGAGAAGAACTAGGAGTGTATTGGAGGTATGGTGGCACCAAATCTCAAAAGCAATTGCCATCACAAACATTTTGAGGTAGCTATAAGTACCAGTGGAGAGTATTGTCAAATTTAATGTGGTGCACTGGGACTGTGAAGACATCTGTCTTATTTACTATTCAGTTCATTTTGTTTTACTTTTTGTGTTGAGCAGCATATAGTGTATCTGACCAGGAGGTCTCATGCCTATTTTGTTTGTAGGTGACCAAGACTGCTGACAAGCACCACTTCTGCGAGCTATGTAACATGGTGTTTAGCTCCCATGTGGTGGCAAAATCACACTATCAAGGCAAAGTCCACACAAAAAATCTTCGTAAACAAGGTCTCCAGCCTCCTGGCAAGGGTAAGTTGTGTGATGAGAAAGTACTGTAGTGATCTGAATTTTAATATTTACAGATCAAATTTTTTGACAGTATTAATCAACAGGTCCTGCTTGAGTTCAATAGATCAAACACAAATGAACTTAAACTGGTAACTTCTCTTTGCTGTTATAGACAGGTACACAGAGGTGCACACTTTACCGGGTCCGACTCAGGATCCCGATCATGCTGACCAGGAGTCAACCCCAGAGGGTGGCATGACACATGTTGAGGAGGAAGCAGCCACCACAGCTACTCCCAGCACAGAAGTTGATCTGAAGGACCCTAACAAGTGTTGTGCTCTGTGTGCTGCTTCCTTCAACAACCCTCAGATGGCTTGGCAGCACTACAGTGGACGCAAACACCAGAGGAATCAGGCCAGACAGGAGCTGATCAAGGAGCTCAGACATGACGTCCAGCAAGGTAACGCAGCATCCTGCCTCTCAGCAAAGCAGGATAATACAAAGGGTGACAAACCCTGCAGGAATCAAAACAGAATCAGTTGCACGTTGTGTATTTTAAATGTACATTTTAAGACTTCTGAATCAGGGATGGAAGCTAGAGCTTAGGAGAGCTTGGGGGAAATCTCCCACCCCCACACCTAACCTCTTGATTCACAGGAAACACTTCAAGGGAAAAGTGAGTCCATATTTAGAAATATGCACATGTGACATTAACATTTTTGTGGTGTGATCTAGGAAGTCACTAGAAACTAACTATAATCATAGAAAAGTAAGAAAATGGAAGTGATATGAGTCATTATGAGTTATTTAATCAATTCTGCTGCTCTGTGTTGTCTACAGCCACCTCCCTGACATGTCAGACGTGTAGTGTGCAGTTTAACTCTGTGGAGATGTACAAGGCCCATATGCAGGGAAACAAGCACCAGATTAGGTAAGGCCAAGAATATTCTGACAAAAATACATCTGCTCTCATTGTATCATAACCTGTACTGCACTTAAAATTTCATCTCTGCGCTGCAGTTTGTCCTTTGTGGAACTTTGGCAACATTAAATCTCCATTAAGTTATTTATTGATACTAACGCTCCCATCCGGGTCATATGACTTTTAACCTCTGCTGTTACTTGCCTTTAGCTCATCCTTTGGTTTTAAGCCCTGTCTTATATATACACCATTGAGGTGGGTAATGTGTGCATTCATATGAGTGAAGTGAATAGTCGTATTGCTCTGTGTTTCATAGGCATGCAAGTAGGGAGTGGTGTAGCATATTGAGCTAACCCTGGGCACTAGATAAGCTGATTATGATACAAATTTTCTGTGAGCTTGTTTTTCTACTCACTTGAGGTCAAAAAACCATGGAATGGGGCTTCAGTGTGACATCATCATTTGTTACCTGATTGAATAGCAACTTATTTTCTGTTCACATGTTCTTGACCAGGGAGAAGAAAGTCACTGACCTGTGCAAATCCCAACAAAAAGTCTACAGCACATTTGCAGATGAACTGGCAGATTACATTCAGGTTCAGAAAGCTCGTGGAATCACTCCCAAGACAAGTCAAGTTCTCCCACAGGACGAGACACAAAAGGAGGGTCAGGAAGAGGAAAAACAGGAACTGTTAAACAGGGAGGATATCATAGAACTTAACAAACCTATAGCCAATTTCCCTCCCACCTCTAATCCTCGTCATCAGTCCCACCCTGGTTGGGTTAATGACCTATCTGGAGGGATGCATCCTCCATATCAGGGCCCATGCTGGCCTCCTCATGGCTGGGACTACAGCTACCCACCTCCAGTCCTCCCTGGCTCAGGTTCTCTACAGTTTACTACTCAGAACTTAAAGAGAAGGAGGTGCAGAAAGCAGTCAAGCTCCTCATCATTTACTACCTCATCATCTTACTCCTCCTCATATTCCTCCTCCTATAGCAGCAGCACAAGTGACAGTGGTGACGGTGAATACAGGCGCAGAAAAAGGAGGAAGATTAGAAGATCCAAAAAGGAGAGAGGCCAGAGGGTAAGAAATGAGGGCTTAGACAAGGAGGAGAGGAGAAGAAAACAGCAGAGGAGGCAAAGAGATAATGAATCAGTGGAGAGGAAAAGAGAGGAATCTGGAGAATCCGAACAAGAGAGCAGGAGAAAAAAGCAGCAAAGTCACGGCAAGCATCGAAGGAAAGAAAAAAAATCCAGAGAGGAGAACTTTGAGGAGGAAGGAGGGGAAAGGGTGACAGACAGTTTAAAGCCAGAAGACATGATGGACAATAGAGAGGAGACTGAAGTGCATATTCAAGATGGAGGACAGGATGAACCATTGAAACCTAAAAACCGGAAAGAGAAGAAGAAAATGAAAGAGAAAGTAGACACTAGGACGGAAGAGGAGAAGCTATGGGATGACTCAATTCTGGGCTGTTAGACTCACCAGGACCAGCTGAACTTTTGAACTGCTGTCATTTATTCAAAACATGAGGTTACCATGAGCATGACATTGAAAATCACAACAACCATGTACATAAGAAGTAATAGTCCTGGTAACAGTTAATGAGTTTCACTCCCTCACAGATAGTCCAAAAATGTAGTTCTCCATAGGTGTGCTAGCTGGCTAGCTGTTTTTATTTAATGTAATGTAATGCATGTAAGGAATGAATGTATAACTCTTATTTCAGTGTGTTTGGAGGGGATTCTCATGTGGCCACTATAGTAGCCTTATTTGTCTCTATGAGATTTAATAATATCATTGATTGAATTAATGTGCACAGCCAGCCAAAGTTGTTGGCTATAATATTATTTAAGATCTCTTGTTTTCTTTCCTGTCATTTGAAATTATAAAAATTAACCTCTTAACACATCAATAAGCTAATTTATGGTTCCTTGTGTATATTTAAGTGTTCCTGGCGAGGAAGTTTGTGATCCCTGAAGCGGCCTGTAGTGGGCAGTGTTGACCTTCATTCAGAACATCACTAAAGCAACTAAAACCCATAGATGCTGGAAGCTTAGTCATTTCACTCCTTTTTAAGCTCTGTGTGTTTTCACTCAGAGGCATCTAGGCTGGAAGAAGGCTATTAGAGATGTAGAGAGGTTCTAAGTCTGTGCCTTTCGCAAACACTGCAGCACATCAGACCTAGTTAAAAAACACAAGAGTACTGAGGCATTACCCTAGTCTGCTGTGCCTTGTCTGTGTGTGCATGTGTTGTGGATATGTCTGCACATCCAAACAGCACATAAAGTGTTTGGGGTCAAACAGGTGCAGGAGTTCAAATCAGGACAGTTTGTGATGAATTGCATGAAGGCAGTTTATCATCTAGGTGACTGAGAAGAGGCAAAGTAAACTTTCAGTTAATTCCAATTTCCATTCATTCTCAACTTAAATAAGGGGCCACTCAATAACATAGGTTCTTAAAAGTCTAACATAGTTTTACATAAACTAAATACCTGTGCTGGTTGAGCTTGTTTTTGGCACATCATAGGCTACTTCATGCTACAAAATGTCTTTTCCTAGCAATACTTTGTTATTGAGCTATTTTGGTTGTTGTATTATCAGTTGGGTGGTTTGTGGGCCACATTTCAAAATGTTATCAGTGAGCGCTAACAAATGTGGAGTTTAGGCAGTGGGGTAATTTGGCTTAGTTAAAGACAAGATTTTCAGAAAAAGGTGTGTAGACTCAGAAGTTTAGGTTTGCATGCACTATGGGCTCTTCACACTATTTACAAATCACTCTTGATACAAGTGCCAATTAATGCAGTCAAAACATGCTCAACCATACCCTGAGGTGAAATATCAGAAAATAATAATAATAACTATAAGCCTTTTTTTCTACATTACCTATTTGTTTAAACTTATTAAGCTACATTATAACGACTAACATAGACGTTTGTTCACTTTGTATATCAGTTAATTGATTGCGTTTGGATTCTGGGAGCAGAATAGTGACCAATATGTGGCTTGTTGGAATAACAACAGAGTATCACAGAATTCAAACGAAACTAGAATTCTGACTCATTATTGTTAATTGGTGTCTTATTGTTAATTGTTCATGCAACTTAGTTGTCAGCTTGAATAACAGTTTGAATGCGAGAAGTGACAGCAGTTGGTGCAAGATGAAAAGCTTCTGATGTGAGATCTTCACTTTAAATAACATGTTTAAAGAACTGCTAATGAGAACCAAGCAATCTTCAACTATAAATCCGTGATACATAATATGCACACAAAGTAACTGTTTTGTATGAAAATACTAAAACTTTAAACAAAACTGGCAGATGAGTAGAGAACTGAAATAAGAGGCAAACAGCTTCTCAGTGTGGCAGCTTTTGACTCTCAGCGTTGGAGCGGAGAGACCAACAAAGGCTTTAGAGCTGTGCGATGTGTAAAATGCAGCTCTGAAGCCCCCTGAGATCTCCTGTTTTCAAAGAATCCTGTGGTCTTGTTCCCTGTCGCTCGAGTCTTCGACCCCCGTAGAGCTTTAGGGTGCCCACATCCTTTCCCTGTAAGACCCCCACCAGACCCTTCTACACCGTAACCTTTCACACATACAAAACAACCCACAGCCAGAGTACGCCACTGCTCCAAAGCAAAATATAGCATTGTCTTTAATGTTGGTAAAATTACTTAAAATTTTGTTTTTTAAGTAAAATATAAACTACAGGGAAATCTCAAGTGCAGTCTCAACACCTACTGTAGCAATGCGGTGCACATCCATACGTAGGTCACTGCCAGTCCTATATGGCACTATCACTCAGATTCTTGGTATGTTTCACGGTTGATGAATAGAATTCAGTATCTTATTAACCTCGGTTTTTGAACACAACAAACCAAAGCTATTGTAAAATTTAGGGGCCTGCTGTGGCTCAGGAGGCAGAGCGGGTTGTCGCCTAACTGGAGGAGAGTTGGCAGATCAATTTCTGCCTTCTCCAGACCACATGTCGAAATGTCCTTGAGCAAGACACTGAACCTAAAGTTGCTCTTGGTAACTGTCCCACTTGTGTGTATGTGTGTGTGAGCTTGGGAGTGTGAATGACCAAATACTGTGAAAGCACTTTGAGTGATGCAGTGCTAGAAAATGCCCATGCAAATATACTTTAAGTCCATTTTAGTGCTGAAATAACTCTTGGTTAATTGACTGTCAGAAGATTAGGGGCAGTGTTAATTTTGCTTAAGTCATACCTCATTCAAAAATGCCAAACGTTCCTTAATTCCAGTTATGTTTGGAAATGCAGAGATCTGCTGATTTTCTTTGTTTTACTGTATATGATCATAAATGATGAACCTTTGGGTATTGGCCCGATACCTGGCAAAACAAACAATCTGAAGTGCACTCCTCTTGGAAATTGCAGCTGCAGTTTTTCTACTATTTTTTGACATTTTATAGACTAAGAGAGTCATCAATTAATAGACAAATGAATCAGTGCTGAAAATAACTGTTACTGGCAGCCCAGTCAGGTGTTCCTAACGCTAACCCTTTACTGTTGTCTTTTCATTCTTCGTGACTGTATGTGATGGATGAAAGTGAACTTGCACGGGACTCGGTCTGTTGCATTTTCACGCAGGACAGAGTAAAGACAGTTTGCTACTTTCTCCAACTGGGGGTCCTCTATTGAATTAGGCAGAAAGGACCTTATTTGTTTAGAAATGTAGAAAATAGATATCACCGGTTGATCTTTTGATGGTTTAAGCACTCATAAGACAAAAAAGAAATGGGTTGGAGGCAGGTTGTTGTCAAGTTTAACTGGAAAATACACACCTAAATTAAACACCAAATATATATTTAATTTGTTAAACTGACTGGGAATGAATAATTTCATAATGCATTTTATTCAAACACTTTTGCCTTTTCACAGACAATAGGTCAAAATATTCTAAATTTATATGGTTTGCAAAATTGCATGCACATGCTCAAACCTCACTGGATTTTGTTTTCAAGAGTTTGTTCAATATTAAAAATCAACAGTGTCGGAGCACGGTTTGTTTCGCTGATCCTTCTCCGTACATTGGTATTCCCTTGCCGTGCTCTGCAGCGAGGCATGAAGCTGTGTATGTAGGACTCTGCTGAGCTCTAGGTCACGCACCTGGGCTGAGACCACAGCACTGCAAACTGCTGCTTTGTGAACATCCAACTTTTATATCGCTTCATGTGTGATATCATGCCAGCTCTGATCAAACATCACCACATGCTTCCAGCTGTCTGTCATGATCCCTTGTGTTTTATGGCACTTTATGCTTTGTGCTACATGTTGAACTGCATCCTCCTCCTGCAACAACCCAGGTCTCTGAGGTGAAAACATCTGTAGCCTGTTGGGTAATTTTAAGGTGAATTGAGTCAGGATCAAATGGTTAGCATTATTTTTATGATGGTCTGCTGTTTGGCAGTCATTTGCTATTTTTTATGCATATTTCAATTTAAGTAATATTTTCAGCTCTGTGTGTTTGTGTGTGTGTGTGTGTGTGTGTGTGTGTGTGTGTGTATGTGTTATATTTAAGTCCCTTCGCTGGTTTATGGCCCACTCTGATAGGCCCCATGTGTGTCACACTGGGGTGTTACCTAGACAGCTCAGGGCCCTGCCAGCTCAGTTCCTCCCATCATCTCTGACATATACATAGCAGGAAAAGAAAGTACAACACCTTCCTTCATCTACCATTCCAGATACATATGCATACACACACTGGCGACCGGACAAAATGATCCTGCTGCCCCTGGTATGGATAATGTTGACGGTATCGCTGTGCAGGACAGCAGGTAAGACCATAAAGTTTTTCTGTGTATCGCATTTCTAACCTCTAACATTCACAGCATCATAGCTCGGTCAGAGGCCTGTAACGACAGATGCGTTGTTGTCAGCGCTACTGTTCGTCTGATGTTTAACTCGGGTCTATGTTTGTCAGATATAGTCCTAGCAAGAGTTTGTGAAATTTGTTTTTAATAGTCCAACAGATGACACGGAGGGTTTAAACAGACCAAGTATAAAGCTTTGCTTTATCTGCTAAAACCGTAATGGTCAAACTGCGATGGAAGTTATTCACTTTTGTTTTCTGAGAATTATACAATAATAATGACATTCATTATGAACACAGTTATGTTATTACATTATTGCAATATGTACAGTCAGGGTTAAAGATACCATTGTGATCTTGCATTTGGTTTGTGGTAGGTCTATATTATTGTCAGTTTTATAATTACATTTATTATATCTATCAAATCAATGAAGTGAACTGTATTATACTGTATAACACAACAAAACATTTGGTGCATTCTTGAGTGTCACTCTTTGTAATTTCTTATATATCGACAGAACAGCATGATCGTCGAACAGACTTAAGTCCCAATGAGCCGTAACCTTTCACAGGCAGGCAGCTTTTGAACTGTCGCTTTCCTTCAGATATTTCATCAGACTAGTGATTGCAACAGGTATATGCCTACATATTTGGACTTGAAAACACAGAGAAGAGGCATTGGAAGGGTTTCTAAAATTAGATGAAATAGCTCTTCCAATGTAGGCATCTCTTAAACATTGCATAAATACTGAATCAGACTCCTCATATAGCAATTTCCAAATGTCACCGTCACAGTTTGGAATTTGTAGAAGTTCATAGTTTTGCTCTATTTCCATTCTTGCGACACTTTTCATAATAGTTGCATACATCGCTAGTTATGTTTGTACATTCTTCTGTCCTGCTCGAAGCACAATTACTTGCATACACTTTTACATTACAGTTATTCTTAAATTTGTCCAGAGACATGCATTTCCTCAAACCTTTGTGAACACCAAATGATGTACAAGTTGGCTTAAAACACCAATGCAAAACTGAGTAACAGTTATGAGAAAATGTATGATTTGGGGGTGTTTAGCTTTAGGTCTGTTGTAGTGCTTTTTGTTGTTGATATATGACCCTGAACTCCCGTACTGAACTGCAGGGCTTGTACGACAAGCGTGTGTCCATTGAAATCTCAAACATCTCTCTATTTCTACTCTTAGGTTCAAGCCAGATCCTGCTACAAGATTCCATCAGTGTTCTTTATCCGAAGATCCCTAGCACAGAGACTCTTGAGTGTGACTGTGGTGACATCACCTGTGATTCTGTCTACTGGTTCCGCAGTATTTCCAACCAGAGCAAAATACAGTTCCTGGGTAGATGCAACAATGCTGACCGTGTTAACTATGGGGCTGGGGTGAATGAGGCACGGTTCAAATTTAACAAGAGGGGTAGCTCGTCCTTTGTGCTACGCATCATCAATGTGACAGAGATCGATACAGGGATTTATTCTTGTGTCGTAAAGGAAAAGAGCAACATGGAACTGTGGAAGGCCGGGACTTTACTTCTGCCGGGAGGTCTGTATGCTGAAATCTCACATGCTTTGTTTACAGCAGTTAAATCTCATTTAAATCCAGTGCATTACAACCTTTGGCACAAAACATTACAATTTATTTTACAATGTATAT